GGGAGAATCCCCTCCCTCAGCCTGCTGGTTGCACTGCTTTCAAGCTGCAAGCGCACACTGCCGGCTCATGTTGAGCTTCTCATCACCAACACCCCCAGGTCCTTCTCCTCAGGGCTGCTCTCAATCCATTCTCCTCCCAGACGGTGTTTGTGCTTGGGGTTGCCCCGACCCAGGTGCAGGACCTTGCACTCAGCTTTGTTGAACTCCATGAGGTTTGCACGGTCCCACCTCTCCAGCCTGTCCAGGTCCTTCTGGATGGCATCCCTTCCCTCCAGTGTGTCACCGCACCACACAGCTTGGTGTCATCGGCAAACTTACTGAGATTGCACTCGATCCCACTGTCCATGTTTCCAACAAAGATGCTGAACAACACTGGTCCCAGTACCGACCGCTGCAGAACACCACTCATCTCCGGTCTGCACTTGGGCATTGGGCTGTTGACCACAACTCTTTGGGTGCGACCATCCAGCTGGTTCCTTACCCACCGAGCAGTGCTGCCATCAAATCCATGCCTGACCAATTTAGAGACAAGGATGCATTGCTCTCCCTCTCCAGCTTTGTTCTTCATTCTCCCCAGCAAACTCGAGTCCTTATCCGCCTGCCAGACTCCAGATTCACCTCGAGAGCAGCTGATTTCTTTCTCTCTCCCAGTCCCTCCCTCCCAAGGCAGAGGGCAGGGTTCCTGCCTGACTCAGCATCTCTGCTGGATGCTGTTTCTCTCAGTTTTGTGTTTCTCTTTTCCCTAGCATGCACTGCCCTTCCCAGACCATGACTGTTGCCCAGACATTTGAATCTGATCCTGGTTTTAGCCTTTATTCTCCTGGGTGAAATGTTTTTAGTGGATTCTGTTACGCTGCACAAAGAATACAAAGCAAGCTGTCAGCTCTTTTATCCCCCTGGACTCACGTCAGCTTTAGGAGGAGTAGATTAGGGCACTTAAAATATTTAGCAGAGCTACCGTGTAAAGCCAAGTTTCCCCTGTGTCCGTATGCTGCTTCGTTTCTGTCTTTAGGTCCTCTCCACCCTTGTCACTTCTCAGAAGGCTTGAATCCATCTTTGGTGTCCTTAGCAGAGCCGGGGCTTGCTGTTTGGTGGCCCCAGCCTGCAGGGGAGGCGGTTGGCAGATATAGTAAAATCTCGGGGCAGGTGGCTCTGCTGGAGGTGGTTTTCAAACTTGCAAAAGTGTTCACAGCAAAGAGATCGTCTAATTTGTGCCCACACCTCCGAAACCAGGGAGGGATTTACCCTCTGAGCTTATGGTGTTATGGTGTTCCCATTCCGCTGCTGTTCTGTACCAGCTGCTCCAGAGCTTTGGAAAACACTCCTTTAACCGTTTTAACCCTTTTTTTTTTTTTTTTTTTTTTTAAATCCCTTCCCTGTGTAGATTAAGACCTTCATCTATTCAGGAAAAAATGGCAAACAGATCGGTTCCACTGGAAGCCTGGCTGTGGATGGGAAAGCTCGTCACATCAGGCTGAACCTGGGCTCCTCCCCCTACTTCCTTTTCTATACAGGTACTGTTGTGTTTGTAACTGTGAAATCAGGATTACTGAACAGTTGTCTGAAAGAGTGTTTTGTGTTCTTAAAAGCTGTGCTTTCATCTAGCAGATGAGCTATTCAAGGCCAACGGAAGGGGGGGTTTTGCTTAAACTAAGGTTTGTTACGTACTGTAGTAATTTTATTTGGAAAACATTGAGAATGTAAGGTTTCAGTAGTCATCTGTAGCAAATGGTTATTGTCGAACACATAGATTATGAACAGATAAATGTTAAAAGCATTCAGAAGCAGTCTCAAAATATCACAACAACTCTATGATGCAAGCCCTAAAAATACAGCTGATCTGGCGGATCTGGAAAATCCTGCCATTTAGAACAAGAGCAGGATAACTTGTCTCCCTCATTTTTGCTTTTTTTTTTCCACAGAAAACTCTCTCTATGCATATTCCCTGAAAGATCTCTACAGTGCAGCAACTGGGATGGAAATAAAGCTTCCCAGCCTTGAGCAAGATCCTCAGTGGGAGAAGAACATTGACCGCACCACGCACCGCCTGTCCCTTCCCAGGTGTGGTGTTACGTCCTGGTTGCTGGCGGAGTGGAGGGAGCGGGTGTTCCTGCCAGGACGGCCTGTTGTGGCTTTGTTCTTTCCGGGTGACGTGGCTTTTGGACTAGGAGAGGAGAGGGCTGGTGTTGGTGGCCGGCTCAGGGTTTCACAAGAAAGGAGGGAAGGCAGGCTGGGGTTTCCTCTGTGCATTTACTGTGCAGAGAAGAAAGCCAAAACCCCACAGTAAAACCATCTCAGGCTAGGAAGCATAACGATATCTCTGTCCTTGTTCAGCTCTGGAGACATTCGTTACCTGGCAAAAATTCCTGGGCGATCACGGGAGAACATCTTGGTTGTGAACTCGGAGATGGCTACGCTGATCAGTGCCCAAAATCTGCAGACTCTGTGGACCCTCAACGTGTCCCGTGTCGTGAGGTAGTGTTACCGTGGTGGGCTGGATGTTACAGGCTCCCAGCAGCAGCAGTGTCCTGGCAGATGCTATTTTTTTTTCCCATTTGAAACACAAAAGCCTGCTCCATGGTCATATCTGCATCATGCTGATCATGTTGCGTGTCCTCTGCTAGCAAATGTCAGGTGCTGCTTCAAAGTGGAGGAGCCCAAAGCTGTGAATCTTCATTCAGTGCCTGCTGTGATGTGTCTGGCTTCGGCCTGGGCTCAGAGCTGGGGTGGTACCCGGCTAAGTGCACGCTGTAGCAGTCGAGTCTCTTCCCAGGGGAGTTGTTGGGGGATAGAGGCTGCTCTGAAAGAACAAGGTATGCCCAAGCCATCAGCCTGTGTTATGATCTGTCCCTTCTCTTTCTCTCCCGTAGCGAGCCGCAGCTCGGTTACTACAAGCCTGATGTTCTTGGTATCGTCCTGGAGAGTGAAGTCGGACCCAACAGGAAGAAGGTTTGAAATCTCCTCTTTTTACCTTCCCTTCTCTCTGCATGTCACAGCTCAGGCAGGCACTGAGTGGAGGACAGCTGGTGGGACACATTCCCTCTGGCTGATTTGAGGAAGCTGGGAAAGGATCTTTTTCAACAGGTTATTGAAGCTGGCTCAGGCACTTTAGTTCTCTTCTCAGCAAGAGGCTTCAGTGACAGAGCTTTGAACCCCTTGAAATAGCTGCAAAACTTGTGACTTGACTCTGCTGTGCCCCCCCTCCAGGTCTCACAGCTCTGTGATGTTCGGCTTCAAGTGTTTCCTCATCTTCCCGTGTGTCAGATGCTTGTTCCCCTGGACAGTGTGGGGTAGAGACACCTGACTTCACTTCTCTCTCGTGGCTTGTTAGAGCTCTTTGGCCTGAGTTCCTTTTCTTTCTTCCCTGCTAGGTTATGATTGTAGAGAGTGGTTCCGGAGCAGTCCAGTGGGACCTGAAGCTGAACTGGAGAGCAGAGAGCCCTGGGCCAGCCACACTTCCCACTGCTGATCACCGCTCCACCTTCCTCATCTGGGGTGAATACCAGGTGCCAGGAAACGAAACAGTGAGTAGTGCTGCTGCATGGGTGCTGTTCTCCAGACTTTGGGACAGAATTGGGCAGAGCTTCTGCCTTTTTGCCCAGTGTCCACATTCGTGTCTGTGTGTGCCGCTAACACGGCAGCCTCCTGCGCTGGGTGTGGGGTCTCTGACCAGTCTGGTCTGGTAGAAGCAGGCAGACCTCTGGTTGTGTCCTGGAGGATGCCTGGGCACCAGCTGAGCTTCCTGTGCTTCCTCACTAACTCTGCCAGCCCTGAGGCAAAAATCTGTCTCCTGCCTGAGGCAGGAGGGCCGGCTGCTTGCAGGAGGCTCAGGGTGGGGAGGAGAGTGCTGAGCAGTGAGAAAAATCCCAGCACTGGTACTGGTGGCATCAGACAGGATGAGTTGGGCAGACACAGACAAGTATGGGAGTGGATGTGTTTGGTCGAGCATGAGTAAGAGCTGAGGCTGGTGCTGGCGTTGTCTCTGGGATGACGCGTGGGTCCATGTCGTGATAGTGTCCTGTTGGTTGCAGAGACCCAGAGCTCCTCTCCAGAAGCTGTACCTTTTCCATCCTTCCTACACGAACGTCCTGTTGGAGCTCCGCAATAGCACAGACCAAATCATCGCGTTCAACGGTAAGTCCTCTCCGTCCAGCCCTCCAGCGAGGAGGTGCAGGTTCTGGCACCACCTGGACTCTGTTGGGTCTGGTGGCCAGTCCGAACATGGAGACTGGGCTGGGCTGATCCCTGTGCTCTGCGTTGCAGCCACGCTGTTCGAGCGGAGCCGCCACGCCTGCTACGTGCTGTTGAGGGGACCTCAGCCCAGCGAGGAGCCAGGGTCAGTGTCTCTGATGAAGCGTAAGCTGAAGGAGGATGTCTCCGAGAGCAGGGTGATCTGGCTGAGCCAGGTGGCAGTGGACAGCGAGCAGTACATCCGGGACCGTCTCTACAGGATGCGATTCCAGAGCCGAGCGTGAGCTTGCTGTGGAAGGGGCTGCTGAGCCCCCGGCGTCTCCGAGCTGCCTCTCCTCTGCAGCCGCGCTCTTAGCAAACCCGGATCACAGATTCAAATGGGAAGCTGCCTTTCTCGATCCGCAAACCGAAGCGTGGCTGGCAGGGAAGCACCCCCAGTGTCTGGGGATGCCAGGCTGTGGGGGCAGCTGCCAGTAAATCTGTCCTCAGAGCTGATGGGACTTCAGTGCCTGGCCACCACTGAAGTGTTGTCAGCTCGGGGAAGAGGGCTTTCCCCTTGATCCTTCTGTGCCTGCAGAACCGTGCTGACTAAGCCTGTGTCTGGAGGAGAACACACGCTTGCTGGGGATGCCAGAGTTGATTATTTCTTGGGTGCTTGCGTGAGAAGTGGAGCTTCGATGTGTGGTGTTAGATTTCCTTTCTGAGTCAGCTCTCCTGGCTGTGGGAGATGGGTGCTTGGCTGCAGGTTGATTTGCAATCGCCCTCTCCTGCATCTGGGCCCCTGCTTCAGTAGTCGTGGGGTGTGTGTAGGTGTGACAGTGTGGCTAGGTGTCACCTGGGCCAGCAGAGCACAGGTTGAAGTGTCGATCTACCTGGAAAATGGCCTTTTCTCCCAAGAACAGCCCCGTGTGCCCCACTCGGAAGTCACAGCCCGCCTGTGTCAGTCTCCTCTGCTGCTTCCATTCCAGCCAGGCTGTGCAGCATTGGTAACTCCGAGGGAGCAGGTCTCCCTCCGATTTGTGCATTGATGGTCGTTCCTGCCCCCAGTCTGATTAGAGGTGATGTGAAAACCACTGTGAGCCCAGGCTGGCAGGTCCCTGCCGGTACAGACCCCACCTCTGCTGCTGGTGTTGAGGTGCCAGAGGATCCAGGACATTTTTCAGGGTAGAATCGTGCTTTAACCGTTGCTGGAAGCTGGGCTTGGCACTCTGGGGAGCCCTGTACCTGAGTGGCAATGCCAGTTATCCTGCAAATATTCGTTCAGCCTTGCAGCTGCTGAGGAGCCTTCTCTGAGCCCTGTCCCCTCTGCCAGGATGGGGACAGGCTGTAAGACAGGCATGACATGCGGAGAAATGACGCCAGCTCTGTTGGCAGCACAGCTCCGGAGAGAGAGCCCTGCACTGCCTCCCTGCCCTGGGAATTGCGGTGGTGCTGGGTGAGGGTCCTGGGGTGCTCTTCTCTCTGTCCAGCGTGGCAGCCTGAGGGTACGGCACAGGTTGCTGTGGGAAGATGATATCTCTGGAGACTTCTGTAGCGTGGTGTGTTTGCTCTGCCCCATTCCTTGGTGGGCACCGGTGCAGACTATAAAGTACAAAGCCTGGAAAATGGTTTGAATCAGCTGCTCAGTCCTGAAAGCTGCAGTCCCTGCAGCAGCGGCACCGAGACGCGAGCCCTGTCCGTACGCTGCTGGGCATCCGTTTGACCGGTGAGAGGAAGGTGGACAGAAAACACGCACCCTAAAAATAGCCTCTCAAGCTTTGTGGGGCTGGAGGGGCTTTGGCCAGTGCCTCGCTCACTTGCCCAGGCTCAGAGCGCGGTGTGTGTAGAAATACTGTAGGGTGAGAGCCTTACACCAGGTTGTGTAGGGTCAGACACCGTTCTTCTCTCGTGGAAGCCACTGAGCTTTACCCTGCTGCTGGGTGTAACCCCTGCCCGTGCCCACAGCTGCAGCAGCTCGCCCAGTCTTGCAGCAGAACGAGCAGCAGCATCCATGGGCTGCCTGGACGCTTCCCTCCTGCTTCCAGCTGGCCCTGTAGTTGCCTAAAGGGTGTCCTGGCTCCCTCTGTGCCGTGACCTATAGCTCAGACCGTCCTGGGAGCCACGTAGGGCGAGTGCTGCTGGGCTCTGCAGAGCTGCGCTGCTGGTGGAGCCCAGTCCTGGGGCACCCGGGCTGTGCAGGGAGCTGGGGTGCTGTCTGGAGAGTGCTCCGCACACCTCAAAGCACCTGTGGGGCTCGAAATGGTGGGTGTCCCCCTCTGCTCCTGTCTTTACAAGCTGTTTTCTGAGGGAGTCTGGGGATGCAGGGAGGCTCACCTGCTGCATCCCCTAGCTTAGGTCACCTCTTTGCTCAGCACGATAAAGACCTGAAGCTGGCAGCCCCACAAGCCCCTGTTTACAGGGGTCAGGGGCTGCACCAGGGCTGCAGAACCCGGGCTGCCAGGGT